AAAGCTCTCATTTGTACTCATAAAGATTCATTCGTTGCTGTAAATAATGCATATGGTATACTAAAAGAGGACCAACTCTAGCTTTTACAATCTCAATTAAACAACTTTGTCTGATAAAAGAAGCGGTCTCATTCCTAGCTGGGTCATAAGCCCTAAGGGTCTTGTTTGCATGCCTTTATTTATCTTTGCCAAGCTGTCCTGCAAGGATCTGAAAGCCAAGTGAACCTCGCTGACTACATTTTTTCTCTCTATGTGCCTACTCGCAAAGGCTGATGCTAGCACAGGCACAATTGTACTGAAGCAAAAGCCCATCCCTGAACTTAATCTAAAATGCAATTGGATGATCTGTCCTTTTCCAAGTCCCAACTTCTAACCTTTCTAATCCAGAGAGCTCATCTCTCTTACACGTGGCTCTTACAAATGCCTGTGATTAATAATGACTGTGATTCATTAGCCTGTGCTGTTTGCGTTGTTTCCCCGGTGGGAGCATTTACTGTCTAGGGATAGCCTATGATTACTCTGCCTTGTGGAACAGTAAGATGCTTTCAATCTAATGCGCTGTCCATGTTTCAGCATAAAATAATATTAAGGCATCCACATAATGGAACTGTCTGAAGATTCATTTTATTAAGCAGTGAAAGAGAATGTGTGTGTGTGTTTGTATGTGCAAGGGAAACATCATCAGCAAATCTCTTTCAACAGAAATGTAATTTCAGTAGATGTTTCACTTAAAGACACAGCTATATGGAGGTGAAGTTCTTTGGATCTGAGGCTGAAAAATACTTTATAGCCAACATCTAATTTGGCACAATTAGCTTACTCGAATTACACACAGCCTATTCAAAATAAGGAAAAAAAAAAAAAAAGGGAAACAGAGGTAGAATTATTGTATGTATTCCATTTTGCACATTTTTATTTTAAATGCAATCTACTTTCAAGTACAAAGCTGCAGTGCTCTTAAAAGATTACTATTTCAAGTTGCTTCACATACCTTAACAGAGCATGTAACCTTTTTGCATTATATGATCAACTTTTTGACAGTGCAGGGCCAGCACAGCTAATGGAATAATAGCCTGCAGGGTCCAGCTAAATGATATACGAATATAATCAACCTTTGTGATGACTATTCAAAAGTAATCCCTTTAGCTTTCAACTGCAACATATAATTCAACCAGGCGAGGCCATATGAAGAAAATCTCTGCAGACTCCACTGATACAATATGGCCTTCATATCCCCACAGTGTGTTTGCTGCTCACAGTGAGTTTTAAATTTAAGGTAATGGCTACTGTATATTCATGTGAGCATAGAACAATACCTTTGATTTGTTGGAGAAATGTAGCATTAGCTACCAAGGGCCCTATTCAGTAAACTTTGACACAACCCTTATATATGGTTTACTGCTTATGCTAAATGGAATATGCCTGATAAATATGCTTTGCATGCCCAAATTGTACAAATTCATTAATCTTTATATTCATAAAACCGCCAAGAACAACTGCCTTCCTTTCAAGTGAACCTAGTCAGCATGAGTGGCTAAACATGTGGGCCCAGACAGCTCTTAAAACAACCATTGCATCATTCTTGGCTTATCGAGACAGAAAAAATAGGAAAACCTTCCACAAGGCTGGGACATGCCTATGTTGTTGGCTGTCATATTATTTGCTCCTGCAGCTTTATTCCTACCTTGTTACATCATACTGCAGATTATATAACTGAAAACAGCTGCATGACCTTTAAAAATGCAAGTAATTTTTTAATGACAATAATGGATCGTTGCTCATCACTTGCATTACGCTGGCATGATAATGTACCATACCCATCAAATCACAACTAAGGTATAAAGGGTATGGTGAAATTTTCTTTCTCTCTCTCCCTTCTGGGACAAAAATACAGGGTTAGGTAATAGTGACCCTGAATACGTGGCATCCACTGTATCAAAGCAAAGGAGATGTAACAAAAACACTGTATTGCTTCAAATGACTTCTCTTGCTTATACAAAATAGTAAAAGTTCGCTCACATCAACAGCAAATGTTTTGTTGCATGCATACCTACCTAAATATATATGTAAAAAGCACATTGCTGAGTTTTGAGGCATTGTATTTTAATATTTTACGTTACTTGAGCTACAGGGGATAAGCAGGGCAGGACATAGACTTTCTCCTGTTTATATGCAATGTCACTTGCGCTCACAGCCATTAGGAAGCCTTTGCACACTGCAGCAAGGAGTTCCATCAATGTGTCGACCATGCACAAGGAACTCTTACTCTGTCTCCAAGCCCACCAGCTGCTGTTTTTGTCATATCTTACTTCATTATTTTTTTGGAAGGGGTGATAAAAAATGGTTTCCGCATCACCTTCTGCATGTTACTCTCATTCTTGCTTTTCTTGACGTCTCCTCAGAATGTTGCCTTTCTTTTTTTTCAAAGAATTTTCAGCTCACATCATCAGTTTGTGGAGCTTTTCAGTAGAGTTCTGGTTTTGAGTATTTTCTCATCTCATGAGCAACGCAGGTGTGGTCCATTTTCTTTATAAGCTTTTGAGATTACGTTGCCTATAATGTCCTGTCCTGTAAGTCGTTGATCATTGTAGCTTAAGTCTTTGTAGCTGTGGCTTTTATTATTTTCTGTGACTTCTCACTAAGTATATTCTGAAAAGGACTTACGGTTCTGCTTAGCTGTTCTCCTAGGAACGTAATGAAATAACAAGGGTTTCAGAAGTTTAGCAGTCTCTACATGGACACATGTAAACAGCAAAAACAACAGAGATGCCAATTCTGGCTGCACTAAAGATTTGGCCAGACAATTTTAATTCTGTTTTATCAACAGCACTGATAGTGTGTCAAGAACATCCCATTATGATTAATTATATCTATGTACTATTAATACATATTAATGTTTATCTCTGCATTTTTCTCAGCACAAAGAGATAGAAGGAGAATGCTTGATGGTGTGATCTGTGGTGGTATACATGTATTACCATTATGAATATGAGATGTTTTTATTGTCCCCAAATAGCAGAAAATTGCCAAGAAAACATTTATGCCTCAGTATTCCGTCAGTTATCCTTGATGTGCTTCATATTTGCTGAGAGGGTAGAACTGTTAATCAGGCAATAACAGTTTGGGGTCCAAGCGCAAAGGCAAAAGGCCAAAGGGTGAGTGAGAATAGCAATTTATGCTATAATTCCCCATCTATCACGTGCACCTCTCCACTGTTTGTATGTGTCCATTTGTGGAAGGTGCATCACTGTTAGAGACGCACTTTCATGTGTATTTCATTATGAATACGTCTATCCTGTACACATGCAATCACATTTTTGGTTTAAGTTACCCACCACTCTTGCACCAGTCTTTCATGGTTGAGATACAGAGATCCTTGAATTCAGTTAGAGTTGGTTGGTTGATGAATTCGATGCAGTTGGATTGGATTTTGGTGTTTTGTTGGATTTTGTTTTCCACATATTACGCTGGCAAAAGTATTTCCACTGATGTACTTCAGGAGTGGTTTCAGAAAATGTTACCTAAATAACTACGTGGTTAAATACTGAGTGAACCTCTAAGGTTCAATGGTACAAAATGAGATTTCGTTTGATAACTTACGCTAATTCTCAGATGATCTTCATACATGTATTTATCCCATTCTTATTTGCATACAAGTACTGGTGAAGTTCGAGTTAAAAATTATGCATAATAAAAGCCCATGATATGATGAAATAGAAACTTTGTTGAGTTTTGAGGCATAGTTTACATCTGTTCCAAACTTCGCATTGAACGTTGCTTTTTATCTCCACTGTGACAGTATAAGTATTTTGGAAATGAATTAATTTAGGCTGCTATGTAGGAACCACTGGCTGTTAAGACAGAGTCCAGTTTTAGACACCACACTGCAGAAAGGTAGTGACAAATACAAAGGATCCAGCTAAGGATAGTACAGAGGTTAGAAGGCAAATATTCAGGAGACTGCATTTGCTTATCCCTTAAAAAGAAAATAAATATATTGTTATTATTATTAGAGGAAGGAAAATAGTCCTTAAATCAATAATAAGGTGTTGTGAAAGAGAACAGCGTTTCTTTTTCCTTCACGTCTATCAAAAGTAGAACAAGAAGAGAGATCAGCTTTATTTGCAATAAATATTTCTCGTCAGTATTAGGGAAGAAACTGAGCTATAACACTGTGAAGCACTGAAACAGAGAGATTCAAAACGTTGTGAAAGGCCTTCATCCGTAGGCTTTCTTGAACAAATTCGATGAATACGTGTCAGTTATGGACTAGATATACGTGCACTGTCTTTGTTTCAGGATGTGAACCCATCAGTAGTTTCCCAAACAGGAACCAGGCCCCCTGGGACGGCGTGGCTGTAACTAAGCAGAGGGAGGCGTGTTGCTGGGGGTCTCTGGGAACAAGGCAGAAAGCTCAGCCCAGAGGTGGGAGTTCGGTGCAGAAATGGAGCAAGGGCTGAAGATCACAGGCCGTGGGATCAAGGGAAGCATCTGGCTGGCAGTAATGGTGGAGTCAAGCAGTTGCCTTGCAGCCAGCTGCTGTTTTGACCATGTCCCATTAAGAGTACACTGCTTAGATATGGCAGCCTTTCTTATCCAAACTCCTCACCCTGTTCTGCCTTCTGCACTGTTCTCTTTTGCCCTAGACAGTCCTCTGGCTGCCATGCTGCCTTTCAGTGCTGTCCTTGATGTCACCCCCCCAGATACATCTTGGTTGTTGGCTCTCCAGGTGTTCCCACCTGGGCGTGTTCCACAAAACCAGCCTTTCTCTGAAAGCCAATGCTCTGGAGTGCCGGAAGAAAAGAAGTTCCTGTCAGTTATGTGATTCAAAGTCTGTATTTTACGTGGCTCTCCTTACTTTCTGTCTAGGATTACCCTCTCCTGTGACTTTGTACTCGGTTACATATTTTTGAAATAAACTTTCTAAGCAACTACTGTTAATAGGAATGTTGTGAGCCTGAAACACTAACATATTTTCGTTTCGTTGTTTTTAATAACAGAGCTCGATATAGAAACAAGCCCATGTGAGCCTCGTCCAGAAACTAGCCCCGGTGAATCTCTTCCAGAGACGCAAATTCCAGATCATTCCTGGTACAGTATTTGCTCTTAATCCATGTTCTTTTTGACAATAATGTGATTTTTCACAAAATGTCATTGGTATCAACATTTAACTGGGTTTTGGCAGTAACTGCACATCAACTGTTGTACTGTGTCTAAATAACAATATTTTTCCTGCTTGTAAGTAAACAAATTCGTGTTTCCATCACTTTGTTTTTCTTATTTTTTACTGTTTTCCCCGGTTTTAGAATTCAATTGCTTTTGATCATGTAGTTGCTTTTAATTTGCAGAAATAAGTCTTTGAGACAGAAGAAAATCTGTTAACTAGATGCTGAAGTCAGATATAAAATAGGTAGGTATCGAGAAGCATGCATAAACTTACAACACTTTCTCTTTGTTATTTCTTGTTTTTCATTGTAGAAAACACCTGCTTACTTACAGCAAAGCTGACAGATGAACGTCGTGAGTTCAGGAAGATCTCTGGAAACTCGGGCAACAAAGTAAGAAGATTGGTGGAAGTTTTGTTGTTTAAGTAAGAGCACATTGTATAAATACGTGTTAGCTCTAAGTCCCTAAACGACCGATTATGACAGTCGTATGTGTGGTTCCGTGTCTATATAAAAAATAGCTACTGTCACTGAAATAAATGTGAAAGGAAAGAGTAAGGTAGAGCAGTGTGCTTATTGTTTGTGTCACTTACTGTCTTTCAGAGTGTTAAGATACCAGGCATCCTATATGCCTGAGAACCCAAGGTTCTCAGTATGCCGGAAGATCACTTTCTAGATGTCTGGATATCTTCTTTTAATCACAAATTATTGCCCCATTCAGATGAAATAGACTCGAACCTTGATGCCTTATCAATGGAGCTTCCTATAATTTTTAGCATCTGTGCTTAACGATTGTGGCTCAACCATGACCTGAATAGAATAGGCAACAGGTTCCACTAGTGACCCACAGAAGTCTGACTCGCATGGTCTTCACAGGTGTCAGAGGTATTTCTCAGCTGCTGTCACTGTTAGCCACAAGAGCAGTGAAGGGACAGAAGGTGGTGGCTATTGCCTTGCAAAGTTCATGGCAAAGCAGACTTAGGAACTTGCAGATTTTATTTAGGAAAACTGGTTCAAGCTTTTGTAATTTCACATATTAGAAAACCTGTTCTTTGAAACTTCATAAATATGAATAATTGACCTCTCCTATCTTTAAACAGAGGTTTTCAGAGTCAGAGTTTGAAGCAAGCTCCATTGGATCTGTAGTCATTTTCTGTGATGGTCTTTAAGTAAGCAATAGCTTTTGCCATAGTAATAACTCAATTCATTGGTTTTCTTCAGCGTTGCAATCTGAGTAACTGGTTGACATGTGACAAAAGGGTTTTGCCTCTAAAGGAGTGGGGAAAAATATACTGTTATCTAGCTCACATTTGACCATTTTTGATCGATGTAAGCATAAATACCTAATTATAATTTTATTCTTTTACTTAGAGGTCTTCATTGCCTAAATATCAGGCTTATTACAAGTTTTCATTTAGAATGTTTTCAGAAGGCTGAGAATTTGTATAGGAATTTTCCTACATACCTACGCACATGTATGAACATACAAATATGCTTAGTCAGTGTTTAAAAAAATGAAACAGTTGAGGCAAGGAAGGAAAACAGGACCATGAAATAAACATAAACAGTAGCAGTATACAGTTTAGTCATTATATTTTAATCCTATTGATACAAAAAAAAAAAAAAAAAAAAAAAAAAGAACCCACACAGGGACTGGAAATAACATCTGAGAGTCACATCAATCTGTAAACTTTTCTAGTCGTAACAGGGCTGCTTTAAGAGGCTACTAATTTTAGAAATTAGTAATTTCTTTTATGATAAAGTTGCTAGAAAAAAATGAGGTATGTGAATTTATCATTGATAGTGGAAAAAATATACATATAAATTCCCTTAAGAAAAGTTGACATTCTAGAAAAGCTGGTTATCAATTTTTCAAGGACAAGTTTCTAAATTCTTATGTTTCAGACCTCATGTACATTTTTACAACTGAACGTTGTTTGTACATGTCCCAGACACTTGTTATGCAGCTCTATTAAACAGCATCTAATCGTCACTGAACTTCTCTAATCTCAATTCACTGCTCAGTGATAACTTGTATACACTTGTGAGGAAATGGCCACAGAATTCATCCTCTAAATTCTAAAGCATTAGCTCTCCCATACTTCATAAGAAGTCCTGTTAGTCATAAAGCTTTTAATTAAAGTTAGGGGACATCTACCATCCTGTAGTGATGCAACAGCAAGCTTGTTCTCCTGAGCCAGGATGCTCCAGCAGAAATGTTTATTGAGCTGTATAACCCTGCTTAGGAACCCTTCCCAGGAACTTTGTCTGACAAGTGGCTGTCTGGGCAGCACGTGGCCATTCTGCTCCTTGCAGACTGAATCAAAACAAAGACTTGCCAAACCTATTGTAGCAGATCAGTCTCTGAACTGTTCTGAAGCGGTAATGTTAATGCATTTAAAATCCGTGTAATGAGGTATGGTTTCTGAGACCTGGAAATGAAGGCTGCTTTTGGATTTGGATTTTGGTAGGTTTCACTGTGCGTGTATCTGATGGCATTGGCTAGTGATTCCTAGCAGAGGGAAAGGTTGTCCTCAGGAAGGATTGTGCTAATAATTATGAAAAGCATGTTTTCTAACCATTAATAAGGTATATCTTGAAGTATTCTTTTTCCAAAACAGTGTCTTGTTTGATAGTGTATCTCTATAATACCTCTATGTTTTTCACACTTATGCCCCTGGGTGAATAGAATTTATGTGCTGCTTCTTGAAGGCAAATAAAACATGTTAATGAATATTTCCATGTCTGAGTCCTCTTTTGACACAGATGTGTCAGACAGCCTTGAGACTAGAGCATTTTCCAGACACGGCTGATCCGGGTGAGACCTAAGCACAGCAAGTCCCTACCTGAAGACTCTGGTAGGTGGTGTGAGTGTGCAGCCCTGGAAGAATCGCTCCATTCTTTGTAGTCAGACAGAGGGGAAAAAGTCTGAAGTTCTAGCAGCCATCCAGTCTCCATGACAGCTCTGTAGCCGGGCCATCTGCAGTACGGGGAGACAGAAAGACAGCAAAAAACAGATCTTCAGCAGCATGTGGAAGACCCAGGATCTGGCCTGGGGACTTGCTGCTCTTCGGAGGGGAGCAACAACAGCTCCTGGCTCCCGCTCAGCTTAGAACTGAGAGAGGTAGGCCTTGTCCCTGGGAGGTAGCTTCTTGAAATACCAGCCTTCATGACTGAACAATCTCATATGGAGAGGTACAGCATCTCTGAAAGGCTGCTACCCCCAGCACTGACCTATTCTGTCGCAAAGCATTGCAGCTCCGTCTTCCTGAGGGACTTGAGAACGCATTGCTCCATCTGGCCACAGGATCTCTGTTGGCAATTGGATTACTTGAATCTGGACTTAGCTATGTTTCTGAAAACATCCTGCAGGAGCTCTCCCCAAAGCACAGTGTCTGTTGTTATTTTCTCCCGTTCTCTTTCCTAAGAGCTCTCTGCCTCCCGGCTCCCCAGCAGGGCTGAATCAGGAAATCAGCTGCTCTCTTTCCACACGACATCACTGTGTGCTCTCTGGGCAGGTCAGCTGGTGCCGTGCTCACAGTGCAGATGAAAAGTGTTTGTGATAAGGGAAGTTCAGGATCACCTGACTTCTGACTCTTGCTCTATCACAGCAGCCCCTTCAACTTTAACGTTCTGAACTGCAGAGAGCTTTTACATCCACCAAGCCACCATGCTCTCAGTGGAGCTCTGTATTAGATATTTGATGAATGAGAGCTTTTGCATTTACATCGCCCCTTCCAGCCTCTGTTGTGGCAGAGCACTGTCACCAGAGCATTTGCATTTTGCAGTGTGTTTGGCAGAAACGGTTGAACAACTGCCTGAGATGGGGACAGTCGTGCAGAAAGATGCCAGGATTTATGGCACCTTGAATCCTTCCTGTCTTTCTGAAATGCAGCACTAACAGCAGCATCCAGCTGCTGCTGCTGTAGGTGCTGCTGGTTGTAGCCACTCGCCTGATTCAGTTCGTAGGTTTTTTCCTCTTTCTTCCTGTGCTTAGAATCACAGGACTGTGGAACCTGCCTAGAGAATTGCTTTCCGAATCCATCTCTGCCAAAGGAGATAAAAACTAAGCTGAGAGTGTGTCTGAAATAAAAGAATAGAAAGCTAAACAAACATATTTGCAAAAAGCATGCTTTCTTTAGTCACCGCCTGTGTTCTTCCCAAGTCCTTCATCCTGCTGTAGGGAGCTGCTGTGTTTCCATCAGTGAGATGATGCGTTTCCCCCGAAAGCTGCTGGGTTTAATCTCACCATCAGATGATGTGATTCATTTCTGCAGTCCCTGTTGCACATTTCTTAATATCAGACAGGAGTGAAATATCTTCAGGACTGGGAGTGGGAGCTGAGTTGACTCTTTTTTTTTCAAAGTAAAAAGATGCTGGAAATATGTCGTGCTCTTCATCAGCTGGGGGAGCAGTGAAAGCAAGGGCAGGCTCCTGAGCTGCATGCAGTGAGCCTGTCAGGACTGAAGTGGGCTTCCACCCCCAAGTGACAGCTGTGGCAGGGCGGAAGGGTCCTGGACTCACTGCATACCGTGTTCCCCGTCACAAATTCAGCCTCCCCGTCACAGACCAGATGTTTGTATTCAGGGATTCTGAATTTCTCCCTCTCAGTTATATTCGACACCTACAGCATGCAAGTATTCATAAGCGTTCTCTGAGCCAAGTAAGTTTGTTTTCAGTTTAAAGTGGTTCTGCCATCTCTGGCTGTCCTTTTGCATCCCTGCATAGCGATCACCTATTTCTGGGCCAAGTCCCTCCCACTCTTTTTTTCTGTTTTGTCATGGCTGGTCAGGAGCCCAATCCTCTCTTCACACTTACTCACATCTGCTACTGCTGCATTTAAAAAAAGACATTTGGGCTGTTGTGTTGCTAGGAAAGGTGAAATTGTTCCATACTTCTGAGAAGGGACACAACTCACTGGCTGCATGCATATGAGAGGTGGACCTGCTCTGTTTAGCTGTGCTGATTTTCCTAGCTGTTTGCCCACTGGCTTTCATTTGTAGAAAGCCTTTGGGGATGAATTTGCTCTGCATTAAGTGGGATTTTGGTCTACCTGCATTTCTCTGTATCCTTCCTTCGCTGTAATCTTGCATGGTGCCGAATGAAGACTTGGTATAGCTGAGAAGATCATCTGTGCTCGGCTACTTGTAATTAAGCTTTGCTGCAGGCAACTGATTAGTACAAGTTACATTATGCCCTCAGAAAAATGAAGGCACAGAGCCCAGGATGCCATCGATCCCTGTATAGCAGAGTGCAGCTGAACGCCTGCAGGTTCTGCCCTTCAGAAACCAGGACCTTCACCGCCAGGTCTGCTTAAGGGGCACGCTCACAGAGCTGAATATCAGCCATAAACCAGTGATGCTCTCATCCAAGATCATGCACAACTGCCTCCCCATTAACTGGAGGGCACCCTGATGTCTCTTTAATAGGGGTTAGCGTTATTTATAGCAATTTACAGGTGCGCTGCTGAAAGACCAAAACATAAATCACTTCAAATGCTGTTCTGTGATGAAGTGCTTCTACATTATTGAGCAAATTGTCCCAACATGACTGAA